CGGTCTGTCGGAGCGTGACAGCCACCGCGCCGCTGTTTACGTAAGTCGCCTGTTCGAGAAGAAGGAAAATGGGGGATAATGGTGCTGTGAGTGGCGTAAGCGGAGGGGTGGGGGAGAGTGTTTTCCGATCTGTCTATAGTTTGATGTGTGGTCTGAGGTAAAAGATGCTATGCGATAACGCTGTCTCATTAGGAATTGTCTTGTTTGAAAGATACCAAAAAACTAGAGGTGTTACAACGGCACATACTTTCTCGCATTATTGAAATATTTACGTAATATTAAAACATTATAATTTCTGCAATACTAAAAATTCAGTTATAACTTGAATAATTCTAATTCAAACGAATCGCCTGTCATGCTAATCTGTATTTATTTTCATTGTCAGAACGAGTAGTTATTTCTATCTTTTAAAAAGGAAACAAACATGAATAAATTGATATGTAACAGCATTTAGAAAACGTAATACAGAAAAGCAAGAATAATTTCACACGAACTTACCTTGATTACATTTGAAATGAACTTTCAATCGCTTAATATCATAATCAGTAGTTAAAACTTCTTTAAGTATAGAAATGTGCTTTTTAGTTCTAAATTAAAATTATTAACTTCTGTCAATATATTTCCTTTAATAAAATATTATCTACATCATAAAATCGTCATGACTGACAACAATGGGATGAATTCTAAGAATTTGAAACCTGTGTTTTCTATTTTCCGAACTGAAACGCCTGAAACGATGCGCGCGAAATTCGAGTTTAGAATTCCGAATGCTTTTTGCAATTTTCCGAAATGCAGAGTGCGACGAAAATAGAACCAGCGCAACTATCTTTACAGTTCTTTGCTACATACGAGAATAAGAAATGAATGACAGAATTGAAGCCATTTCTGGGAAAATTGTGTAAAGTGGTTTTAAAAGCGCTTATATTTCATCTAAAATCACACACAAAATACTCATTTTCGAAATATTGAACATGAGCTCTTTTGAACAAATAGTTTGTAAAGACCACCTTTCATTAAGAAAAAAATCTTCAAAATTCTAGATGTATGAAGACGCCGAATTGGTTTTTAGTATTTGCAATTTTCGAAAAATTAAGGTTTCCAATGAAAATGAAACCTATACCATTCTCTCAAACTCCCTTCACACTATCTAACAACAAAATTTAATAAAAAACGATGGAGCCATTTTTTTTAAAAGTCAGGGCTTCATGTAAAGTACTCCTCAAAAGCAACTATTTCATTTTTCGAGATTTTAAGACAAAGTGGATGTCAATGATACAAAGAATAATAACCAAATACTTATGTTTCTTTGAAATAACTTTCAAAAATTGTTTTATTTATTTTTGTGGGGATGCTAATAGTGAATTTGGTTTCTTGGAGTGCTTACTACTCGCCACTATTTTTAATTGTTATTTTTTCTTTCCTTTTTAAACCGTTTTCCAGAAACATAACCCACTTCTGTCAGGTGGACGATTGATACAATATTCACGGATTTAACAATCGTGATGTGTTTTAGAATCGTAGTCTTCGCAAAGGTCGAGGGTTTGCTGTACTCGCAGATCAAGTTTAATTACTTTGTAAATAGTGGATATCATGCACTACACTACCACACGTGCTGGGAGATCGGTCGGGAGGCTAGAGGTTTTCCCTGCTGTGCGGTGCCTTCGTGGGAGATACCTGGTTCAGCAAATCCCTACTAGGTTGGGGAAAACTCTACTAGCCGACGGTAGGTGGAAGCCACATCTCGCCATACAGTAAGGGAAAGATCACCGCCTGATTAAAACATGCACCACACTTGCGGACTAATGACCTAGGTTGTTGACGCGTCCGGAATCACTAACATTCAATAAATCAATAGTGGATGCCAATTTTTTTCACCAAATAAATGTCTCATTCACATATTGATTGAACAAATACAAATTCTAATTGTTCATTAGGAAATGAACTGCTGCAATTCGTACGGCTCGTGGCATACTCCGATAGACCTAGAGCAAAAGTTGCGATGTTACTATAATAGGTTCAATTACTTACGGAAACGGAGGACAACAGTAGTGTATCCAGATAGATTGAATGACAATGTGCAAACCTCACATTACGTTAAAGAGAATTGATTCAGTTCTCCTAAATGTATTTCAATAATTACTAAAATATTTAAGAATTTTAAAATACGAAAACAATATAGAATAGGTGGAGGTATTAAGACTTTTTGTGTTCCTTGTGGAAGTAAATTCTCCTAATTATTCGTAAAAGACACGTTTTTGTTTTGAGCTAATGCTACAATTGCTGTTAAAACAAACTAGTTCTGATACTATATACATTTTCCATTTGAATATTCAAATGGGGTTTTCAATTTTCCGTATATAAATAACCCAATTTAGGAATAACGATGTTGTTGGGATACAACGGCCGCTGATAGTGATCGTTTATTTCTAGTTACTAGAAGAGACAACATGATAAAACGAAATTACACAATGGAGGATGTCCAGGGAATAGGTTATGATAAAGTCTGAATTTAATGTTATAACTACAAGCATATTTTATAATTTTTTATAGAAAATGTTGGTATTGAGTTAACATTTTATACCTGTTTTACCTATCTCTATCAAGTAAGCTAGGAATAATACTTGATATTTTGAATATGTGAAGTAGGAAACAAAGTTAATATTGTTGATGTTTCAGTACGTGGTATCACTTGAAAATCCATATTAAACATACCCGGGGATCCTTTTCCCTAACCGTCCCTATTGTAGTTGGGCTTACTTGTAATTGTTCGTACTATTTTCTCACCAGCATTGTTTAGAATATTTATTAACTAATACTTTGAAAAAATTTTAGAATTCAGAATGGATAATTAATTTCAAAACCAATTACTCTAAGTGTGGGTTATCAACTGTTCTCTTTACAATTAGAACACTTTTTTCTTTCTCACTTTACTTCGTAACAGGAGTGTGTATTGTAATCGTGTGCTGCAAATTGGCGACAGGAAAACTCACCCTGCCGACACCTTTATGTTAGCAGAACTAGTGGTGCTGCAACACCACATACTTTCTCACACTATTTCTAAATTTGGAATTTTCAAAAATTCAGAGAGTTCAAGAAAATTGGAACTTCTCCATTCTTTCAGGCTCACCTTGTTCTATCCGTGAAAAAATAATGAAAAAATTTGGAGCTATTTTTACACGTGTTTTTTTTGTAAATTGCATTTATATCAAACGCACATTACACCCAAACTACATTTTTTAAACAATTGAATGTGAACATTAAAGAACTGATTTTTTTAGAATAGATCTTGTTTATGGCAGAATCTCATTCTTCAATTTTGTATTTTTGAAATATGACAATTTTCTGCTTTTGAAAATAGAGAGTTTTCAGGAAATGCAACTAGCACAATTTTTTATCGTTGATGTATACGAAAAACAAATTTAAAAAAATATTTGTCTACGTTTTGGAGAAAAAATTAAAAATTGCTTATATTTCAAGCAAACGCACGCACGATCTTACGGACACTACGGTCTGACTTGGGAGCACCTCCCCTCTATGAAGTAATGTAATACATATGTTAGAGGAAGTCATTTACTATATTTGGGAACACTAATTATCACCGTTTTCGTTATTTGTGACCAAAAATACATTTGGAGCCGCGGAATTGGAGGTTTTTTGCCACAGCGGAGAATCCATATTTTTAATTCCAAAATTCTACAATGCCAAATGCACGAGAATCCACTCCACGAAATATTCATTTGTAATTATTTTGTAATAATTCCATTAAATTGAACTTGTCATTTGCCATTAACACTGGCAACTCTACAGTTAAAAAAACTTGAATTTTGAGAGGTTTTCAAACGCTATTATGTCAGTAAGCTCGTGGGTCTGTAGGAGCCTTATATTTTTTTCTTTTCTTTCCTTGTCAACGCGTGACTGCTGACGTCAATGAAATCCAACGTGACTTCAATGAAATACAAGTCTTTATCCCCTTCCAGATCAAACTGCCTGAGGAAAATTGTCAACGAGAAAATAATGTCCAAAGCTTTTCACATCCAAAGAAATTTGGTGAAAGAAAAATGTGTAAGGTCTAAAACTCCATTTACAGGTAGTTTAATGGTAGGTAGTGGTAGTCCAAAGTAAAAATGAGCTTATTGTGATTGTAGTTGTGTTAATAATTGTTAGGGGCATTGTTTCAATTGAGACTAAAGTTTCAGGTGTATTGTTAAGACGCAAGTAATGTGTGCCACACGTATTTTACTCACAAGAAAAAAATAGTATAAGACTGTTGCATATACTTTTACATTATATTAAAAGTAACAAGTATAAACAATATTGGAAGTGTACAGAAAAGTCATGAAAACGTGGGGCACCTGTAAAATAAATAAATCTGACAAACCTCACATTGAACACGTACTGGATGAGTGTTAAGATACCACCATTGTACGCAATATTTCATTCGAATAATGTATTAAAGCAACATTTTTCACCAAAACACTTGTTGACCAACATCAGTGTCAGAACAAAAAAAAAAACTTAATTCATTGGAACATCCAGTTTTTCAAATGGAATTTGCCATTAATGTATTAGCATTTCCATTTCTGGAGATTTTTTCCTCGTTGACATTTTTCTTTTTGGAAATTGTTTTCATTTCTATATTTATTTTTGGACATGTTTATTGGTAAATTATTTTTTGATAATTTGTATCAGTTGATGTGTTTACTTTTGAACTTTTTTTTTCTTGAGAGTATATTTAGTTTTGAAGTTTTTGTTGATATTATAATTTTGTGACGATTTGTCATCGTTGATATTTTTACTTTTGGACATTGTTTTATCGTCAGTATATTTCTTTTCTATCATTTTTCTTTGTCGATATATTTCTTTTTTGTCATTTTCGTTGTCGATATATTTCTTTTTTGTCATTTTTCGTTGTCGATATATTTCTTTTTTGTCATTTTTCTTTGTCGATATATTTCTTTTTGAACATTTTCCCTCGTTGGTCGTTCAGGAGTGGTGCGGGGTCAGCGGGAGAGCCCCACGAGCAGGTGGAGGAGGCGCCGGTAGACTTGCTGCGGGGCGTCGGGCGCCCAAAGGAAGTCCAGGTGGTTGAAGTCGGGGCGCTCCACCCGGTACGTGTCCACCATCCGGGGCAGCCAGCGGCGCAGCTGTTGCACGTCCTGCGCAACACGCCAACGGCGGACAGGGTTGTAAACAACAACAAAAAGGATGATGCTAATAATAATGTGAGTAATAATTGTGACTAAGGATAATTTATTGAATTTTTTATTTGTAATTGTACATAGTTTCATGTTTCTATATTCTGTCACCGGGCATCATCGCCCCAATTGTAGAATAAACCTTCTAATTATATATGTTGCTCTCTCTCTCCCTCCCTTTCTCTCTCTTTCTCTATCTATATATCTATCTTCTATCTTACCCCTAATAAACTAAGGGAAAGATAACGGTTTTGAGCGATTTATAAGAGTCTGCCAGAATCCTGTAAATGTGCAACTGCTGCTTAGCGAATTACCCATCAGAGAAAAAATACTTTCGAGTGACCGCATGTGTGTACGGCTGACCTTAATGTGTCATTTAATGATTTGCATACTTGGATAAATTGAAATGAACGTCAGTGACGCTGTCTAAAAATAGTGTACGAGTGTAGTAAAAATAGTGTTTAAATGACACGTGATAAAAATGATTTTGTTTTCCTCCTCGGATTGCGACTCGAGGGCGAAAGGCCTGATGTCGCAACCATTCCTGCTCGCAAAATAAAATGTCACTTTTACCACTCGTCTCGTAAATAACTATTTCAATGTACTATTGATACTGAAGAGGACTTACGGCCTTACCCTGCTGTTTGAGAGCCAATCATTGTCAGCGAAGAACATCACAACGCGAACAACAACATTCCTCAGTTGGTATTGACGTGGGAAATACCTGGCGGTTCGCGTGGAGCCGTAATCAAATTGTTGAAATCTTCCTGTGTGAATAGAGAAATATGAACTTAGTTCCCCGTGTTATCGGAAGTGGCTTTACAAGTAAAACTGTTCAATTGGAGGAAGTTTCAGTTCTCTGAATGGTGAGGTACATGTTGAACATATTTATATACTGCTGATTATTTAAACTTTCAGGGTAACAAATCCAAATATACGATTAAAATACTATTAGTTTAACAGGAATATAGTAGGTAGCTTAAAGAACAAGTTCAATTTCTGTAGAATCAAAAAAGTAATAAAAATAAAGTTGCCAATCGAAAATAAAAAATAAGAGAAGTAGCTGTTTATAATAATAAAAATATTAGTTATTATTAAATAATAAGTATAATAATTATAATTTGTTGTTGTTTGTTTCGCAAATCGGCTATGCGATTCGTGCATCCCACCGAGGCTCGGTTATGATTATCGGGGTATGTGCACATTACTTTGCAATTGGGGGGATCAGCATGTAATGCTGATTCGATTTTTACACCCCAAGGTTGTAAGCCCTGTGGGATGGAATGAAATGATGATGATGAAATGATGAAATACACACACATAAACATACAGAGACACATTATTATTCTTATTATTCTTATTCTTATTATTCTTATTCTTATTATTCTTATTCTTATTATTATTATTATTATTATTGAAGCGATAGTGTGCTGATGGGGGGTGAAAGGACTAGGATGATAGTGAGAGATGGTGAGTGTTCGTGAGATTTTTGGAACCATCTCAACATTCAAGGAAAATCACGAAAATCCCTGTCAGGATGGCCGTCCCGGGGATCGAACCTGGACCTTCTGAACCCCGATTGCGAATTCAATTCGCTACGCACTAAGCCACTTCCCTAGGTATTATTATTATTATTATTATTATTATTATTATTATTATTATTATTATTACAATTTCATCTCACCTGCTGCTATCAACTGGCTTATATGGAGAATATACTTTGCAGAGGTTCCTGCGGGAGTGTATTTATTTATTTCTGAAACTTCCTGCAACATACATTAGTAAAAGGTTTGTTCCATGAAATTCTTCGAAACTTGTAAGAGAACGTGCGCCATTAAATATAACAATAAAAATAAAAATAAATACAAAAACTATTATAATAATATATTTATATAAAAAAAGGTCATATCTCAATGCTTGTGAATACTTTTCAATTATGGAATATAAAAATTAATATTTGCAAAAAGTGGAGAGTTTCCTGCAAGAAAGTATGCACCTGATATCGATTATGATGTTTGACGCTCTTCAGAATTGGCTATCGAATCAATTGGAGCGTCATGTACAAACACCTCACAAAAAGCAACATTGCAGTAACCACAACGCAAAAGTTAGACAGAAATTGTAGGAGATTAATTTTTAGGAGGAAATAATGAAATTCACTTTAGCTGCATGTTTACACTTATTTTTAAAATTCGTTAGTTTTAAGCTTTACTAATAAATGATGAGCATTGCTCATTGCTATATTTCTTTTTCTAAACCAATCTTACTTACTATTTATCTTGTTTGCAAAACGTGAATCAGTGCAAATATTTGTTTGTTAACTCTCTAACATTGTAAATATATTAGGACAAAAGTGTAAATAAGACGTCAACTATCAAGGAGCTAAATATATAACATTGTATCCAAAGTATAACATACTAAGTGTAACAACTTTATTCGTAGGTTTCCGAAGCTGGAGTCATTGGATACTCGGCTCTCCGAGTTCAACCCGACTTAGGTTGTATGTGGATACTTGGAAGTCCAAGTTCAACCCGAACAGTCCAAGTATCCACATACAACTTTAGTTGTGTGTATAAATTTCTGGCAATTTGTTTCTGACACATAAATGTTGAGAAATACTATTAAACAAAAAATACAAAGTAATTTAATAACATTTGAGTAGAAATTGTTCACTCAAGAATTCAAGAAGAAATGAATAGTTCAGAATACACCTCAATATTGTCTACAAAGATGTTTGGCAAGGTATTTGTAATAAATACATGTCAACTTCAGAAATAATAGATTTCGTTGTGTCTAAAATTGCAATTGCTTTGCCAGATAAAATTGTAAATTATTTTGCAATTTTGGGAAGTGTGTGGAGGAAAATGAATTCAATTGATGATAACATATATTCAATTAGTTTCTGATTGGTGGACAATATCTTCATTTTTAAGTTTTTATTGGCAGTGAAAGGTTCAGGTATTTTAAAATGAAAGTTCCTAATGAGTTAGTCCCTAATGTCTCGAGGGAAAATCTGACATACATTTAGTGCGACAGAAACCTATTAGAACATTAACTTCCTCTTTGCCTGCCTATCTCCCAGATTTATAGTATCTAAATTTCGATCTGTTCTCATAATAAATCTAAAACTATAGTTCAACAACAGCACGTAACGCCTCAAGTCAGTAACGCTTACATAGTATTATAATACCGCAATTTCTGTCCGTATTAACACACCTAAGTCATCACTTGTGAAACTCATTGTAAATCGTAGAACATTAGGTGTGAAAACAATTTTTTTAAGTTTACTCACATCAGCAAACATTTGCCAATTATATCTGAATTTCATACAACCGTAAATATCTCCTAATGATGAGAAGAAATTTGTAGAATTTCAAGGCGCGGCGAGGCGTTTGCAGCGTTGCCTGTCAATTGCAATCTGATATCTCGCGTAAGACTGGCAAATGAAGTGCAGCCAATTCGAATTTACAAAACTGGACGTTTAACAAAAATTGAACCAAACTACAGATTTTTAAGAAATGTACTTGAACTTCTTTTAATCAAACTACTCACATTTGTAAGAAATGTACTTGAACTTCTTTTAATAAAATTATTTTTAGAACAGATTTCTTTTAACAAAAAATATCTATCACCAATATTGTACTTTTTCAATGTTAATTTTTTGCGGTTTTCGAAAATATAGTGTTGGCTCAAAATGGCACCAGCACTACTCATTTTTAGGAGACAAAAGTACTCATATTTTCGAAAAGCTGAACATGAACGTTTTTGAGGATATTTTTGGCCGACAGATTACACTAAGAAAAAAAAGCTTTCTTCATTATAGTAGTTGTGGGAAGTCGCCGAAAAAATGGTCAACTTTCGCAATTTTTGAAAATCCAGGTATTGCAACGAAAGCGCGACCTAAGTCGTATGATTGATAGTGATTCCGGGCGCGTCAACTGCTAAGGTCATTATTCCCTTAAATGTAGTACACGATTTTTTTCCTCAGTGGTGGTAGTGATCTTTCCCCGTCGGATGGCGAGGTCCGGCGTCGACCAACCGTCAGCTACCGGAGTTTCCCCCAACCAGGTATCTCCTACCAGCGTGACAGGAAACTACCAATCAGAGCAGCCGGCCGCCAGAATTCTCCTCCAGACAACGAATTAATTCGACCTAGCTGACAAGCTAGTGTCGGAAATTCTGGCACCGTCAGGACTCAAACCGAGGACCTTCCGATCAGAGGCAGTGCAATGACATTAGTCGAAGCCCTGAGCCACCTCTCCCGGTCCTACGCCATTTCTTTATGCGTCTGTTGAGGATTCACGTAAAATCCCCCCTCACGCTCATGTAAGCATAGATTTCACAGGCAGAGGAGCAGCACGCTCGCCCTCTGGGAGCGTAGAACGTGCCAGCTAGAACACTGCTAATAGGGTGCGTTTTGTCCGGGTCTAATCTATGATATGTCACCAACTCTTGGCAAAGACACATTCACACAAAGAAGAAAAAAACACTCTTTTTTTTACATTTGAGAGTATTTATGAATGGATGTATCTCATTGTGGCATCAATGTTAGTATCAATGTGAAGGTAATTATTCGTGCTCTTAGTGCAATGTACTTCTTACCGGGTAGAGACTGGCACTGTCGTATCCAACTAGTCTGAAGAGTATGTTATCGCAGATTTCGGCACTTGGTGCAATCGTATCACAATCCGACCCATGCAGGCGTTTTATAATAGAATTGTCTGGGTCGAATTCATCTTTTCCAATTAGTTTGGCCATGGTCTGCGGCTGTAGAACGAGACAATGTCACACTATTAAAAATTAGAATAGAATACACGTCCCTAACGAAATGATAGAATGAAACTAACTAAATGAAGTGTATAGGCTAATAAGTATTATGCAAAACGGAACATAAAAATATTCGTACATTTCTCTAAAGAAGTAGAGTAATTAAATCATTTAACGTTCACTAAAATTGCACTGCAAAAGTTTTCTAATGGTTGAAACTGATTTTTCAATAGTATCCATTTCTGTCGATATGTCAAGAGCAATAACAACAGGTTTATTTAATAATTTACCATTTGTTTTGTTACCCAAATTGGGCATTGCGTGCTGCCATCGCGGGGCGCCCCACGCGAAGAGGCGTTCAGATGCGTGTGGTCAGTTCGGGCTAACCTCCCCCTCCCCTTGCACTGCATATATTTGTACGTTGCGACTAGTCCGCGTGAGCGCTGAGTTTAGATATAGAAAGTGTCAGTCTGTCATTAAATGTATGCTGTTGTGTAAATGTTTTATAAGTAAGCGAGAATTTAGTTATTACATATTGTATCCTTCATAATGTATTTGTTACTTATTTGTATCGTTTTCATTACATGTTTACATACATATTTTGCAATATATTAAGCGATTCTTGACCTGTTAGAATAATACATGCAGTTGTGTGGTTCGTGAGTTTAGGTCATTATTGACAACAAATACTTTACTTTACCGACGTTTCGACCATTTAATCAGTCTGTATCAGGGTTACAATATTACTTATAAGTAAATATGAAAGTAGATTTTACTTATAAGAAAGTATGCAAAGATACCATTTTCAAGCATAGACAACAATATAACTAATATTTACAGTTGAACATGCTTACAAGTAAGGTTCATGATGTGAGATACTGCCACATGTAGAATCATAAGAATGTTTATTTTCTTTAGTGTATGACCTTACAGGTAAGCTTGTTCAACTGTCACTATTGGTTTTATTGTTGTCTATGCTTGTAAATGATCACCATAGATAATAAAAAACTTAATAATTATATTGTATATTGTGACCTTTTTATTATATTTTATTTTCAAAAAATTAATGATCCCTATTATTTAAAAACAGTTATTTTTTAACTTAATGAAGAAATGTTAAATATATATTTCACTTTGTATTTTTGCTATGTTTAATGCTATATAACCAGTTATTATAGCGTTGTAGGTAGCAAAAACGTTGTACATGGTAAAAATACAAAATGAAATGTATATGTTTAATATTACCTTTTTATTTAAAGCTAATAATGTAACGGTCTTTAAATAATAGGGATCTTAGTTTTTTGAAAACCCAACTCAAGACCCATAAAACTTACGTACATTTTGCCATTTCATACTACCGTCGACTCCGGTTGTAGTGAACTCGGATATAGTGAACCCTCGGTTACAGTGAACTTAAGTCATTGGTTCCGCTTCACTTACATTACAAATAAGCATAAGAAGACTCGGTTATAGTAAACCTGAACCTCGGGTATAGTGATCGTAAGAAATACAACGTCCTAGAAATCAATTCCATCCTGGAAAAGAATATATCGCCTTAGTTCCACAAACTCCAGAAGTAGGCCGCCTGAAAAAAATGTCGGCCCAATGCCATAATAGGAGTAGTTTTCCCTGGGATGCAGGAAGGAGTGCAGGAATGGGCACTATACTGATGACCTTACACCACTGCATTTGAAAGCTAATGAAACCGATCGGTTTTTCTTGTCGCCTACGTAGAACTCAACGCGCTTTGACCTGCGGAATATCAAGTTACACCAAGATTGATACCGAAGTAAGCAACCGCGCGTCACTGCGGCCAATTGTAGCCCACGCAGGACACGGCCTGGGTTTCTGCAGTGAAACGGAGAGGCGTAAGGTCATCAAAATGGTGGCCATTCCTGCTTTCTTTCCACCATCCCAGGGATAAATACTTCTATTATGGCATTGGGGCGACATTTTTTCAAGACGCCTACTTCTGGAATTTGTGGCAGTAAGGCGATATATTCTTGCCCAGGATGGAATTAATTTCCAGGACGTTGTATTTCTTACGATGGCTGTAGCCGAGGTTCAGGTTCACCACCCGCGAGAGTGCCGGACGGGGGTTGCCGGTCCTAGCGGCGGTGCAGGCGCGATGGAGCTCACCTGCACGAAGTTAGTGCCGGCGGCGAAGAGGCGCAGGACGGGGCTGTAGGCGGAGCGCAGCAGCACGGCCGGCGCCAGCAGGAAGGCCACGCCCACCTTGGCGTTGTACTGCGGCCGCTCGGCCAGCAGCGCGAGCAGCGCCGCCGCCCCCGTCGAGTGCGCCACCACGTGCAGCCGCGGCGCGGCCGTCGCCTCCAGCACGAAGTCCACCGCCGCCGGCAGGTCCAGCGTGCCGGCCTCGTGCAGGCTGCGCAGCGCGCGCCGCGACATGCAACTCGCGGAAGAACGCGTTGGTAGACGACGCTGCCATTTGGGCAGTTCTGCCCCCCCTCCGCCCGGCCAGGTGTCCGCTGTTGGCGGTTTCATCCTATCGGGAGCTTGAACGGCACCGTAGCGACGTCGCCGTGGTGACGTTCGGGCTCCCTATTGGATGAAACTGTCAACAGGTGATTCCTGCCAAGGGCAGGGTTGCCAAAATTGCAGTATAATTCGCTACAGCCTTAAACACTCGGTCCTTGCTCTCGGTTCTAAGAACTCAGTCTCAACAACTCGATCCTAAGCACTCGGTCTTGAGCAATCTATCCTAAGCGCTCAATTCTAAGCAGTCAGCTACAAGCAATCGGTCCTAAGCGCTCCATCCCAAGCACTCTGTCCTAGACACTAGGTTCTACACTATTTCCTAGGCGCTAGGTTTGAGAACTCACTCCTAGCACTTAACCCTAAGCTCTATCCCTTTAGTCCGTTCGCCCTAAGAATAAAACTGATGAAAGCAAACTCAAAAAATATTTGCGCTGTACTACGCTTCTAATTGGACACCACCTAGCGCATTCCTGTCAATGACGCGAGTAGAGTAGCATACCCAGCGAATTCAAATGGAGTAAGAGCTGTCATGCAAAAGTCATGTTCATGCAACTACTTTTCTTACGATCATCCTGTTTCAGGAAGTGGTTGTAATATCTGTGAGTCAATTATTTGTATAAATTGGTTGTCTTACAAAATCTTGTCTTGTAAAATTTGGTAGTTGTTGATTACAAGTCACAAGCTGCAACAATTTTACAAGCGTTGGTGTTTCGTTTCTGCACTTTTGCTCGTTTGATGCAAGGAATGTACTTTCTATCGAACAACACTCACTACAAAGTCATCGTATTCTTCAATCATAGGTTTCTTCCCCTTTCTTTTCTTCTCTGGCGTTTGCAGTTGTCCCTTGTCAGTGAGCTCTTTCTGGTGTTAATCTACGCTCTATACGGATATTCCAGTGAACACTGCGATTTGCTTCACCGGTAACGACGGATTCCTATGCAATAACTAATTGAAAACTATGCACTTTTCGCTACTCCGAAGACATTTTTTGACACTTTTGTTTAGTTATTGAAGGGTCAGCTACACTCTGAGACATTCTAAAACGAACTAAATAGAAGAGCCTCGCAGACCGATCGGCGGCGCGGCGCCACGGTCCCACGAGCCGCGTCCCACGCGCCCGACCCACGTCGATCAGCACGTTCACGTGCTGAACTATCAGAAACTCGTAATCACACTCAGTCAGTACACAGTGTTCTCCTTTATCGAAATCGTTGCAATAGTTTAGACGCAAGGTGAACTTAACAAACGATGGCAGATAAATTAGTTCTTATACAGAGAACTATTTACTTTAACGTCAGGATCCCAACAACTGCAGAGCTCACACTGCAAACCAATGAGAATCATCGTAACTCGCGTTCATTTGTTTACATAAGGATTTTTCTTAGGGTGAACGGATAACAAATACTTGGCTCTCCGCACTTTGCTCTAAGCGATTGGTTCTAATTACTTTAAGTACTAGAACTTAAGTCGTTTTTCAGAATTATCTTTACTTCTACTCTCAGCCTTCTGCCATATGATCTCGAATCTCCGCTCTCAGACCTCTCTACCTGCAGACTCCTGGCCCCTCAGACTCCTGGCCCGTTGGATCCCTGCCCCGTCGGACACCCTCAGACACCCTGCCCCTTGGACCTCTGACCACTTGAACCCTCGGCCCTTGGCACCTCAGACCCCTGGTCTCGGACCCCTGTCCCCTTGCTCCCCTAGCCAAAGTCTTCATCCCTGCCCTGTCGCCTGAGAGTTGTATTCTTTGTGTTCTGCTTGCAGCTGTCAACTAACTTCTCCGGAATCTTCGCCAGCAACCTTCCCCTTTGCCTTCAGGACAGATTCCTAAGCACTTAGCACTGTAGCTATAATCCTCACCCTCTGACGGTAGCCCTTAACTCCTCTATGCTGGACCTCAGTAGTACTTCTTTCGCTCCTCTATCCTCCCCTTAGGTGGCAGTCCCTCCCAACCTGCAGCCCTCGCCTATTTCCTTTCTTGTTGGCCCGTAAGCCTCGCTTGTTTTCTCAGCTCTCATTTTTCCACCTTAAGTTCACTGCCCCCGGAATCCAACCGGCGCTCTTTAATTCTGTTCCCAAAACTCGGATCCTTCACTAATTACATCTAATAGCTACAAATAACATTCTAGATGACGTAAGGAAAGTTTTCTTAGAAATGGAATGTAGTAATCGTAATAATAAGATTTTTGCCAGAAAGTAATTGAATTGTGGTGTGTGTGCATTTTGGAATCCGTTAAATTCTTCGTTAGTTTTTATCGTACATTTTGTATCCTTGTTAATTGGAACTCATAAAAACATACCAAATCAATTACAATTTTCTAGACGGAAACCTACTAGAAAAATAGTGAAATGACGATCACTTATTCCATTCATACCTTGGCGCTCAATTTTCACATGAAGAAACAGAAAAAATCAATCTTTGAATATTGCATACAATTAAGTAATCGTACACTAGCGTTAATAAAGACAAAAACATAATTGAAACGTCGAATTTAATTTTAAATTTAATTTTCAACCTCTTTCTATTAAAATATTAAATTCAATTACAATTCTTCTTTCAAGTAAATATTGAATCTTATCCCTGAAAGGTCAAAAAATTATTTTCATTAAATGATGTCGTTAGACGCGCAGTTAAAATGCAGTTAAAATTATAAGTATCACTAATACCTGCGCATGAAAGTTGCTTCTACACACTGTCCTCCGCACCTCAAGATTAACACGCTAGTGTCACCTAGCGTGGACTTCTTTCCCGCGTATTTCTTCGCCTTTAGAAAGCATCATTCGTATCGACGCCTTGTGAGATCAAACGGTCAATTTTGCACCTGAAATAAGAAAAAAAATCAATTTGGATCTTAGCTAATCTGTTTTTTAAACTATAAAATAAATTCACGAGATATTAAGTCCTAAATAACAAATAGTTTTTCGTAAAAAATGTTGATTACTTTTTTAAATTTCAAAGGCAAATTTAAAAAATTGTGATTGCATTTTGTGCATATTATCAAGGGGACAACTTATCACAGAAAGGTTTCATTGTGATGACTGAGCACCCAGGCATGTAATTAAAAGAAATGATCGTCATTTATACATTGAGGACCATTCCGTAAATAACAAATAAAAATTATAAATACTTTATGCGTACACGGCACACAGTGAGAACAACAGACAAAACAAAACTACTAACCTTGTCCGACTTTCAGACATCACAGTTGGGGTGAAAGTACATCACTTGAATTTTTTTAAAATGTAAGTATATTGTTTACATGTATTATTTGCTAAGTATGGAAAAACGGGCTGCGATGGCTCAAGGCAGCTACCGTTCTCAATGCAGTCTCTCCCAATGCCGGTCATAATCATAGGATTCGACTTTGGAAAATATTGGACACTAGCTACTTCGAATTCAACCGAGGTGGATTCTAGGTACCGGATGTTCTGATCGGTTGTTTTCCGTGGTGTCAGCTGTCAACACCATACAAATGCCGGAGTAGTGTCTTTACAAACGGGCGCATGGCAGTCGCGGTCGCACGGTCTTTCTTTCCTCTTCCTGTTTTCTCTTCCTCGTCCCTTTCTCATTTGCACGCACAGCTCTACCGCACTTGTTGGGAGGCATGTTTATTCTAGTTTAGTTGGTTTATTCTAATTAGTAAGTTTAGTTATCTTAATTAAGATATTAATGAGCCAAAGACCAATTATCTGTGAGTCGGACGAGCGGGGAGGGACGGTGTGGGGGGACATTCTCCACGTCATATCGGCGTCAACGCTGTTAATTGCATATTCTAATCAAGTGGTTCGGCGAAACACCTCGCCACCGAAGAGAGTGTAGATTCTATCCCATTAATAATTGTTTTGCAAATTAATTATACACGTACTTTTGAACATTCTTATGTTAATAAATCGATTTTTGCATCTTTTGTCAGGAATGGTTGTTTTTGTTGTGAAATTACTTCAATATTGTACGCACTGTAAAAAAGTAGTAATGCAGTAACAAAATACTCGCACATACCTGAAATTCCAGAATCTACTATTTTCTGTGTCCCATTGGGTGTGGTTTCGGCTGAAAAAATTTCCTCGCGTGTTGCCCATCCAAACATCAATGCTTTCGTTGGCCAGCATGTACGCTGCAACGCAAAATATATTATTTCTTGACAAAGCTTCCACACTAAATTCGGGAAATGGGAGATGAAAAAGGCGAAGCAGCGAAAGGAGAAGGAAAATAAGAGTGAGGAGGAGTAGAAAATGGAGAAAAGGGGCGATAAAATGATTGGCCAAAGAGAAAGAGGAAGGAGGTTGTGGAGGGAAAACGGACAAGGGAGAGGTGGAATAGGATTGAAAAAAATGAAGAATTGAGAAGAGAAAACGAAAAAGAAGAGGAATGGGAAGAGATGGGTAGGCGAAGAAGTGGGAGGGGGAGGTGAAGACGAAGAGGAGAGAGGAGTAGGAAAAGATGGGGGCGAGAGAGGGGGGAAATGAGAAATGGAGGAGGAGAAGGTAAAGAAACTAGATTGATTGATTAGTGATTCCGGGCGCATCAACCAATGCAATTAGCCCCATAAGTATAGTGCATGCTTTTTTCTTCGGGAGGAGCGGTGAGCTTCCGCCGCTGGATGGTGAGATTCGGCTGTGACTTACCCGGCGGCTAGCGTAATTTCCCTACCAAGTATCTCGCACTCGCGGGACATCGCCTCAGTCGGGACAATCTGTAATCTTCCGACTGGTCTCTAGACATATGTGGTCGTGTAGTGCGTGTACGTGTGTGGTGTGTGAGAGGCATGGACAAGGAAGAGGACTGAAATGTAGCGTGCCGTCCTTGGCCCGTTTGTTAGGCTACTGCTCCGGCATTCGCCTGGTGTGTTTGAGGGGAAAATGGGGAATGGGAAGGGAGGGTTGAAGAGGAGACGTGGAAGAAGGAAAAGGTGGAGAGAGGAGCAGTGGGAGGCGGAGAAGACAGAAAGATGAAAGAGGAGGAAATCACTCACCGAGCGCGTGGTCGGGGCCGCCGAGTAGCCAGTCGGCGGAGGAGCCCAGGAGGCCGTGCCACAGCAGCGCCACCTCCATGGGCGGCGACGGCCGGCGCCAGCGCTCCCGCTCCGCGCTCCACGCCTGGCGCCCGCCCAGGCCCGCGCCCAGGACCCCGCGCCCGCGCCCGCGCAAGCGGTGCAGCGCCAGCACGTAGCCGTCCTCCGTCGTCACGTAGTGCGTCTCCAGCGGGAAGCCCTCGTGGCGCGGCGGCCCCGACGGACGCTGATTCGCCTGCGTCGCGTTTCTGGAGTCGTTGCGACTGTCGCCGTTGGGCTCGACTGCGCTGATGTCGATGATGTCATCCACATCACTATAGTTGTCGTCGTTGTCGATGTTTTCGATGTCATCCACGTCACTATAGTTGTCATAGTTGTCGATGTCATCCAAGTCACTGTAGTCATCGCTGGTGATGTCATCCACATCACTGTAGTCGTCATCGCTGTTGTCGATGTCGTCCACATCACTGTAGTTATCATCGCTGTTGTCGATGTCGTCCACATCACTGTAGTTATTATCGCTGTTGTCAGTGTCATCCATATCACTGTAGTTGTTGTCATCGCTGCCGTCACTGATTTCGCTGCCGTCGTCGACTTCGCTGCCGTCGTCGACTTCGCTGCCGTCGTCGACTTCGCTGCCGTCGTTGACTTCGCTGCCGTCGTTGACGTCGCTGCCGTCGTTGACGTCGCTGCCGTCGTTGACTTCGCTGACTTCGCTGACTTCGCTACCTTCGCTAACTTCGCTGACTTCGCTGACCTCGCTGACTTCGCTGCCGTCGCTGACTTCGCTGCCGTCGCTGTCGTCGCTGTCATCGCTGTCGTCGCTGTCGTCGCTGTCGTCACTGTCGTCGCTGACGTCGCTGTCGCCGACATCGTCGATATCGCCGACATCGTCGATATTGTCAATATCGTCGATATCGTCGTTATCGTCGCTGTCATCGCTGACGTTGCTGTCGTCGATATCGTCGCTATCATCACTATCGTCGCTGTCTTCGCTGTCTTCGCTGTCTTCGCTGACGTCGCTGACGTCGCTGACGTCGCTGACGCTGCTGACGTCGCTGACGCCGTTGACGTCGCTGACGTCGCTACTGCTGCTTGCCACTGTCTGCACAGAGATCCGGATACACCTCAGCCTACTCGTGAATTCAGTGAAGCAATGTCCGCACATACCGGCAACCCTGATTTAAAAAATGAGCCTGTGTGGATGATAGAAATAAATCTTGAATCCACTTAAAACAGCCAGTGTTGAAATTAGTGAAATATTCCTTGATCGTATTCCCTATCTCCTAACTGTTCAATAATGATATTCCTCACTCACGGTCTTGTACTAATAATTAACCAAACCAAACAATTCTTCTTACATTTTCGTGTACTCCTATGTACTCCTTGCGTACTCTATTGTTACTCCTAGACATATTAAATTACTTTGTGGAATAAATAGTGTCAAAATCCGCGATTTGTTGATAATTGAGATACAAAATATTTTTTTCTTGAAACGTCTTTCTTAAAACATCCGTTTGAGGGAAAATTTAGCGCCTAAGTCGTTCCCACGATTTTGTCTAAAGTGAATATTTCCCGATCGATCAGTTTTTCACAAAACTGCAATTTTGATGATTCACTTGTCTGTCAGTCGCATTGTTTATATAACCATCGAATATCTGGTTTACAAAACGATGAAACCTACAAATCAAATTATGTGTTAGTCAAGATAAAATAATTTGAAAGAATGCCCTTAAATAATTAGATGTTTTCGTCTCTCAGTTAAAAGAATTTCAAATTTCGAGTTTTTGACACTTAGTTATATATAATCCATTCATAAGGCACTGGTTTTCAATCGTTCCATTTTGCAAGCATGCAAGAGGAAGCATGGAGTTCGTAGTATTGTTCTAGATTGCTTATGTTCGTACCTTAAATAACGATCTCAGAGAGTAGAAAAACTTTCCTGGAATAACGAAATATTATGTACACACCTTTCTGATTATTTGCCAATTGCATATGGAGTCCCGCAGGGATCGATTTTAGACCCTATTCTCTTCTTACACACGTATACAATATGCCCGCGACGAGTAGAAACAGAATAACAGTTCTCTTTACTGATGATACGAAGATTCTTTGCAACAAAGAAACCGTAAATAGATATTTCAAATTGGTTTCGTAATAAACTAATAGTAAATGGAAAGAAATCGCTTTCAATGGAGTTTTCCATTGCAAATAAACAACTCTGCACTACACCCAAATGAACGGTGTACCATTGACTGATGTTAAGGTAACAAAATGTTTAGATATTTCAATTCAGTCAAACCTTAAATGGAACGTCCATTTAAATTAATAGAGAACTAAACTAAGTTCTTTATGCTACTCTTATTTATTGCAGAATTCTTTCAAACTCAGTCAACCTCCATACTGCTCGTTGTATATTTCACTAATGTTCATTCCCGCTTGAGATATGGCATAATATACTTGGGAAATGCACTTTATAAGCTCCCAGACTTTTAGATTTCAAAAACGAATTGTACGAATAATAAGAAAATCTCACTCTCGTGATTCTTGTAAGCCTCTTTTTATCAATCTAGGTATTTTACCATTACCTTGTCTCTTGGTATATGAATCGGTGGTTTTGTTGTGACTTACTTAACGACGAGAATATATTTTTATCAAAAAGACGTTGTCTATAACTACACCACTCAACGTAGTAATAACATTCGTCAGGTGACAGTATCAACAGCGCACTACAAAAAAGTCCCAAGTAAAATCTTTTCTGCTGCGCAACTGTTTCTATACGTTTTGTAGGGGCCGCAAACATAGTGAATGTCAATACCGTTTAGGCAACGAAAATATTCCAAGAGTCCTGGCTTGTAAGTACGTAGGAATAATATTTGATAGCAAATTAAATTGGGAAAATCAGGTTAACTTTGTCGTAGGGAAAGCCTGTAGGTCTTTGTATTTTACCATGCGAATACTAAAAAAGAGTACTACGAAAACGAGAGAATTAACTTACCTGTCTTTAGTTCTTCCATTAATGAAATACGGGGCAATTTGTTGGGACCCTTATAGAAATTCACAAAAGGAATATTTGAATAGAGAACAGAGAAGAGCGTGTAAACTTACTTTCCCCAGCAATAGGAAGAAAGTAGAATGGGAGGCTCTAGAAATAAGGAGGGTTAAGGCAACCCTTGTGCTATGTACAAAGCGTATGCCGGTTATCCAGCTTGGAAAGATATTTTCATTCGACTCGATAGACC